ATGTCGATTAATTTCCCACTCCTCCTCCGGACGCGCTCCTCCTGGGCGGGCGCTGCTCTGGCCTGCAGGGACCTCCGTGCCTTTGACAATTTGACACGCAACTTCTCGGCAGCACATGAAAGGACTCCAGACAGTTTAGTTTGGGGCTCAAGCCGGAGTCTCCCCAAGTTCAAAGAGCCAGTGCCTGTGCCCCCAAGAAGGCCCTGTCAGCAGAGGAGAATTCAGTGTTGGCTGGTGCCCCCAGGGAGGGTTCCCCTACCCCCACCTTCACCCCCGCCCCCACCCTGCCAGCCTCAAAAGTGCAGAGGGTACAGCTCATGGCCCGTCCCTACCAGGTCTGTGTGAGAGTAAGCAGGGTCCCCGTGTGAGAGTGAAGAGGGGACAGCCCACTCTGGGCTCCCTGCTCTCCTTGAAAACAAAGACGGTGGCATCACAGCCTGGCTCCATGGCACCCTGTGGGCTGCTGGGATGCTGTAGCCCGCGTTCTTGGGCCTGGCCTGGCACTGTCCATCTCACGGTCCTGGACTACCCTGGGGTCTTCTGTGGACTGGACCGTCTGGACCCACAGGGTCTGTGGATGCCCCTGGTCAGGCCTTTCATCCTCACCCATCCAAGTCTGTTTGCTCTTCTGCAGCCTGGGTAGTAGCACGTCCACACACCCGCATCCAGGACAGACGCCCGGCCACATGGAAGGTATGTGGCCAGGACACAACCAGGATCCCCAGCATTAAGGTGACCAGATTTTAACATTGGTAAAGTGGGACACCATTGATAAAACTCCTATCCTGGCAAAATAGGCACATGGCAGCCGAAAACCGTATACCCTAGCTTGTTGTGCATTCTTTCCAAAAATCGGGACTTTTTTAAAACGCCGTGGGATGCGGGAAAAATATTAAAAATCAGGACTGTCCTGCCCAAAGCAGGACGTCTGGTCACCTTACCCAACATACAAGGTGGATTTCTCAGGGTGCGTCCCCCAGAAGCACACAGTATATGCTCTTTTAGTGCCTTGTTCTTGCTGAAAGGGCTCAGAATTCTCCAGCCCCCACATGTGGTTACCGCCTGCCTTTGCAGGGCCCCACAAGGGAGGGAGGGAGGGAGGGAGACAGGCAGGACCAGGAGGGAGGGAGGGAGGGAGAGAGAGAGAATTGATGCACCCCTCCTCAGAGCTGCGGGTGGAGATGCCCTGGCCTTCAGGGTCCCCATTTAGAGTCAGGATATATAGGAAACCCTGGCATTCAAAATGTGATTCCCAGGGAAGCGCCAGGCTTGAAGCCTTCAAGTCATGACAGTCTGGTCTTGTGACTCCCAGGGAGGTCCCAGCCTGTGACGTGGGGGCTGGGTGATTCCAAACTCTGTGCAGTCCCTGTGGGTGCGTCTCACTTTCCTCCAGGGACGGAGCCCCGGTGGCACCTGGGGTGCGGGCTCAGAAACCCACAGACCTGGCAGGCATGTGTTTGGAGGAGCGACACCCCCCTCCTGTGACTACTGCCCCACACAGGTGTCCAGCCTTTGCCTGCAAGTGGAGCCAGGAGCCGAGGCCTGCAGGCTGACTACGGGCACCTGGGTCTCGGGTCCTGCAGGCTGACTATGGGCACCGGGGTCAGGGTCCTGCAGCACCAGTGACCAAGGACATCTGGGCGCCAGGGCTCAGTCTCACTCAGACCTGGGGGCCTGGTCTCTCTCACAGGAACTGGTGGGGCATCCTGGTTGGGTCCTGCCTCTTGGTCTTAAGGGACCACTGGGGTGCCTTGTGGTGGTGGTTGGAAGGCTTCTGCAGTGGTTCATGTGACGAACAGAAGCCCCCACCCCACCCCCAAGACGTGGCGAGTGCTGTTGGTTTGACTTGGAGTGACTGGATTTAAACATGGGGGGTGGGGGCGGTGCTCTCTTAGCAGCCAGACTTTCTCCTTGAGGGGATTTCGGTAATGCCACCTAATCAGCTCAAGAAGTTAATTAAACTGCTGTCACTTAGCCTCTTAATGCTGCAACCTGATGCTGACAGAGATGCGAGGTCCCTGATGTAAGGCACGGGGACTTCTGTGTGGAGACCAGAGGAGAGGGGAGGGGCCTGGCTCCATGGCAGCAGGGTCTCAGGGTGACCCAAGATAGGAATTGGGGTCCTGGGAAGACTCTGGCCTCACTGCTGGCGCAGAGCAGGCCACAGACCCTCTTGCTTCAGATCCAAGGGGGCCTTGGCTGTGTGAGAGGACGGCCGGCAGCCGGGCATCCAGCAGCTGACCAACGGGGGCCACAGACCCGCTGGAGCCAGCTTCCCGGGCCCTAGGGCCCGAGCGTGAGAAACTGACCCTTCGTGTAAAAGCACAGAAAAACTGAGCCGGGAGGCATCTCCCCCCGCCACCTCCAGAGCCATTGGCAGACCAGGCAACTATCTGAAAAACCAAACTCACTGCCCACCCGTCCATTTTCGCTCAGAGTGACCCTAAAAGGGTGGGTGGAACTGCCCCAGGGGGTTTCTGGGGCTGGAACTCTTTAGGGGAGTAGAAAGCTTCGTCTTTCTCCCGTGGAGCCGCTGGAGGTTTCAAACCACTGAGCTGGCAGTTAGCAGCCCAGTGCTCAGCCCTCTACGCCACCAGGGCTCCTAACCGTCGCGCCCATCTAGGAAGAGGTGTGGGCATAGCCCCGAGAAGAGAGGATGGTGAGAATTGAACATGTTTGCAGGAGAGACCAGAACCCAGACCTAGAGGAGGACACCGGGGTGGGTAGAGGGTCGGTGGGAAGGAAAAAGACCCCCGTGAGATAGACCAGCGTGGCGGGACCGTGAGGACGTCTCAGGGCCAGGGCGTCCTGCCCTCTGCTGTGTGTGGGGTGGCTGTGGGCTGGCGCTGACTCGAGGGCAGCTGCCTGCCCGGGACAGCAAACTCATGGGATGGGTACCTTTCCGCCCCTGCAATCCCGGACTCCTGGTGTCTCTGTTACTCTGCTGCCCAGTGATGCCCGCCGAGGCCAGCGTCCAGGTGGGGGAATGGCTTGAGGGACTGGGCCAGGGAACACCAAAGGGGCTGAGCCGGCGCCCCCCTCATGAGGGTGGAGGCCTTGCTCCACTTTGCCTTCTTCTCCTGAGACCTTGAGGGGTGGGGGGGGACAAGGGTGAGCAGTAGTCACCCAGTCTGCTCCTCTCGTTTCTGATGAATCTGGGATGTTGGCTGCCTGTTCATACAGCGTCAGGCAGGGGGTGTTAGCCACAGGGTTGGCGGGTCCAACCCACCAGCTGCTGCGAGGGAGAAAGATGAGGCTGTCTCCCCTGGAAATCACTTATGACTTTGGAAACCTTACCTAGGGCCTGTGAGGTTTGGAATCGCCCTGATAGCTGTGGGTTTGGGTCTTTGTTTCTGAATGAAGCGTCAGGCATTGGGCTACTACTACTAACGTTGGAGGTTTAAACTCGCCAGCTGTGACCGGGAGAAAGTGGGGGCTGTCTGCTCCCACCGAGATTCACATTCCAGGAAACCCTGTCCAGGGCGTCTGGGAGTCAAAATGGATGCGATGAGAGTGGATAACTGGGAGTTGGGGCTGAACGTGTAAGCAACCATGGTGGTGCAGTGGGTTAAGCCCTCACCTGCTGACTATAAGGTTGACAGTTCAGACCTAATTCTCCTTGTTACAGACCCCAGGCTCCCTCTTATAGACCCCACTCTCCCTGTTATAGACCTCGCTCTCCTGTAATGGACCCCATTCTCCTTGTTATAGACCCCACTCTCCCTCTTTGGACCCCGCTCTCTTGTAATAGACCCCATTCTCCTTGTTATAGACCCCACTCTCCCTCTTATAGACCCCGCTCAGAGGGACCAGCACAGGAGCCTCCCTGGCTCACTCACAGCACCTTCAGGGAAGGCTTTATTTCCAAACCAGGGCAGGGTCACCGAGTCTCCACACAGCGGGCACCCTGGCCTTGTCTGGTGGTGACAGTACCCAGACCCCTGGGGTCAGAGTTAGCGAGGGCTAATGGGGCCCCATGGTCAGACAACTCCCCGCTCCCCCAGACTGTGCCCTTCTGCCTCGTGGGAGAGGCCAACTGTGGCGATAGTGCTTGTGCCCTTGTGTGTGTGTCTGTGTACCTGCCCCTGTGTGTGAATGTGCTTGTGTCTGTGTACGTGTGCATCTATGGGTGGGGGGTTGCTCTGTCCATGTCCGAGTGTGCGCATATGTAAATGTCAGTGTGTGTGTACGTCTGTGTCTCTGTCCATGTCGGTGTGTATGAATGTGTGTGTCTCCGTGCGTGTGCTTCTGTGGGTGATTGTGGGAGTGACTGTGAGTGTGTCTGTGCATCCGTCCGTGTCCCTGTCCGTGTGTCTCTGCACCCTGTCGGAGCAGCGACTCAGGCTGCCCTCGGTCTTGCAGGAGGCCGAGATCCTGAACACGGCTGTCCTCACGGGGAAGACGGTGGCCGTGCCGGTGAAGGTGGTGGCCGTGGACGAGGACGGCACCGTGACCGAGCTGCTGGAGTTGGTGCAGTGCAGGTCGTCCGACGAAGACGTCATTAAGGCAAGTCTGCCCGGCCCAGCGGGAGACTCCCCCCCACAGACCCCACCCGCGGGACTCTGGATGTGGCGGGCTGCCCTGGACTCCTGCGCCCGTGGTGCAAATGCCTTCGGCCTTTTGCTGTGCTGGGGCTTGGTCCTGGAGACACAGGGAGGAGGTGCCTGAACCACCGCTCTTGGGGTGAGCCCTAAAAGTCCCCCGTGCAGAGAGCCTGCTGGGGCTCGCCTCCCATGCATCCACACACATAGACATTTGCATACATGCATATGTACACACAAATACATATACACGGAGGAAGGGACTTCCAAAAGTTTACGGAGGTGGGGGAGATGGAATGAACAGATAATGGAATATTTCTACAAACACTGTGAAGCCCACTTAACATCAACAACCATATACACACACAGAGGAGCCCTGGTGGTGTAATAGTTGGGTATTGGGGTGCGGTCGCATGGTCGGCAGTTCGAAACCACCGGCAGCTCCTTGGGAGAACGAAGGGGTTTTCTACGCCTGTAAACAGTGGCATAGATAAGTGCTTTGAAACCACAACAGGTCGGTGAAGAAGAGGCTCCCGAGCCCACCACCCCTTTTCAGAAAAAAATTACTCCCCGCTGACACTAGGTTACAATGTGTGTACTGCGGCCCCAAATGCAGGATAAAGTGTAGCTATCTGCTTTTCAGCCTCCCCGCCCACTGTTCATTGCAAGACTGCCCCCCAGGGGGCGGCGGGCGGCCACTTTGGGAAACACTCCCTCTGCTGCTGTACATAGTGACAGCCTGTGGGCAGCTCGGCTCTGTCCCCTGGGTCCCTGGAGGCAGAACGGATGCGCCGCCGTGGGCGGGGTTGGGATAAGGGTCAGTCTTGACCATGTGGCCATGGACATAGCAGGCAAGGGGACGCGGCGGCTTTTAAAGGTAAAGGAACAACAAATGAATGGTACTCAGGAGTCCTGGGAGCCTAGCAGTCAGGCGCCGGGCTGCTCACGTCTAGGGCAGCAGCTGGCAACTACCAACGGCCCTCCGTGAAGTTAGTCTGGGAAACCCACAGGGGCCGTTCTAACCTGCGCTGTGGGGCCGCAGGGTATTTAAAGGGAGCCGAGCACACGCGCTCACTTCACCCGACTCACAATGAAGCTTTTAGAAACCCGCTTTAAACATTCAACAACAACAACAAAGAACGGCCCCTTGTTTGTGAAGCAGAGCAGTCAGGTGGGCAGCCAGATCTCGGGGGGAGCAGCAGGATGCATCTGGCTTTCGGCGTCAGAGGTTCTGATTTTCCACGTGGCAGCCAGCCGGCAGCCTGTGTTCCCTTGAGTTGCAAGGCGCTGTGTTGGGTGCCCAGAACACCAGCAGAGCAGCCCCCGGCCCTGGGTTACATGACCTCCTGGATCAGAGAACGGACCCAGCGAGCATCCATCTTTCAGGCTCGGCCAGAGGGACAGGGAAAAGCTGAGCGGGCGGGTTGGCAGCCTCGTGTTCCAGGTGCATCTGTGTTCCAGGTGCATCTCGTGTTCCAGGGGCACCTCGTGTACCAGGTGCATCTCGTGTTCCAGGTGCATCTGTGTACCAGGTGCATCTCGTGTTCCAGGTGCACCTCGTGTACCAGGTGCATCTGTGTTGTTCTCCATGGCACTGCCACACGCTGTGGTGTGCTTTGTGGCATTGTGTTGCGTTCTGTTTGTGCTGTGTTGTGCGCATTGCCTTGCTTTCCATTGTGTTGTTGTCGGTTGTGTTGCGATGCGTCAAGATGCCCTGCCATTGCGGAATCCCAGACGTGAGCATGCGGCACCCCTTTGGCATTTCGGGAAAGGGGTTTCCCAAAAGCAAGCGGTGGCTAAATTCACCCTGAGATTTGGGGATGAGATCTCTAAACACGTCGGAAATGTGTGTTTTGGTGCAAGAGACGTGGGTCTGTTCTCTTGAAAAGAACAATTTCGCCCCAGTAATGACACAGTCGGGAGCAGGGGGTGAGGTTCTGGCTGGATGGGGGTGGTGGTTCTCTTGTTGAGGAAGAGAGGGCCCAGGGCATCTACTGGAGGCCACCTTCTGTGAGAAGGAGCCCAGCGTCAAGGAGACCAGAGGCAGATGATGAGAGAGGCAGGCAGACCTGGCTCCTGCAGGGGTTTGGGCTTTAGTATTGTCATGCCTGCAACTAAGGAAGAAACTTCGGTGAGAGGTGATCATGACCTGAGCTAGAAGGGCCTTGTGTTAGGCTGTGTGGACTAGAGAAACAAATCCAGTGACACGCATACATGTGTGTAAGAGAGAGCTTTATATTAAGATGTAATTATATAGGAAGCAAACCTCCCAGGCCACCCAGTCAAGAGCAAGTCCATAAGTCTGATACTAGTCCACATGTCCGATACTAGTCCATCAGCCCTTCTTCAGACTCATGCAGCCACATGCAAGACTGCAGAGTGCAGGAAGGCCACCGGCTGGTGGGTGCAACGTCTTGTGGACCCAATGGTGGTGGCGGCATCACAGGGCCCTGGCAGCTCCCAGCTTGGCTCTTCAGTAGGAAGGTGAAGGCAGAGAGAGGGGGAGGTTCCCAGGACCCTCCTTATGGGAAGGCCACGCCCACAGGGAGACGTTATCAGGCTGTGACCCGATGGACAGGCTAGACTCCACCTCGGCACTCTATTCATCAAGTTCTGTGAGGACCACGGGCCGTGAGAAGAAAGAAGAAGGCTTTGTGGCACGTCATCAGGGGAGGTGCGGTTAAATTGGTTCCCACTCCATCTAAGGGAGTGCTTTGATGTTTTAATCATAGGAGCCAGCTGTTCCCCGAGTGGGGAAGTCTGCCCCTCTCGGGAATGAGTGAGACCAGCCGTGTCTCCTACAGGAAGGTGAGGTCATTAGCGGCCCATGAAGTGACTCACACCTTCCATGTGGGAGAACCCATCGCCCATGTGCACGGAAGACCTTCGTGGGGTCTGATGGGGGTTCCAGGCTGAGACAGACCATGAAGAAAGGCCCGATGGTCGACTTCTCAAATTCAGCCAATGAAAAAACCCCATGGTTCGATCTGGAACCCATCGTAGGAGTGGAGCAAGAACAGGCAGCATCTTGTTCTGGTGTGCCTGGGCTCCCGTGGTGGGGTGGCTGGAGAGCCACTAACCGGTACAGAAGACATAGCCTGGTGGACCCACGTGAGGGAGGAGCGTTCCATCCCTCGCTGTGAAGAAGCCAGTGCCTGACTTGGGATTTGATAGCCCATGAGAGGTGGCAGAGGGCAGGAGGGCCACGGGCGTTTTGCAGAGTTGCCCGGCGTGGATGGTTAAGTAGATGGTGGTGTCGGTTAGAGGACAGTCTGGTCAGGGTTGGGAGGAGGGGTTAAGCTTGGTCTCCGATGAACCTGTGTGCAGAGGGCCAGGATCCTGCAGGTGGACCAACCCAGCCACCAGTCGGGAACTGGACATCGAGTGGGAGAAAGGTCAGAGGGCAGGGAGGCTTTGGCTTGCTTTTCCCTTGGAACTGAAACTTTCCCCCCATGTTGACCAAAACTTCTTGGCAAAGGAAGTTCCTTAGTGATGTTTAGCCTCCACACTGATTGATCTGAAGGGAGCCTTTCAGAGGGGCTAGAGGGTCATTCATGATATGCGACTTCTGAGCCAACATAGAGACCCGTCCCTGGGGAAGGATGTCGTGTTGGGTCAAGTGGAGGGTCAGCCATGAGCTGGATGGACACAGCACAGGTGCGATGGGGAGGGGTGGCGCAGGACCGTGCAGTGTTGCATTCTCTTGTGCATGCTAGGGCCGAGAAGGGTCGGGACTGACCGCATGCCTCGCCAACGTGGAAAGACCAAGCATAAGATGCGTCTTGTCTTGTTCCAACCCACACATGGTGGACTTCCAGGGCTCGTGGGTCCTTGTCGATGCTGCTGATGGGTAAGACGTGAGTGTAGGACGGTGTCACATCCTGGTAACACACGACCCCACTCCCCCACCCCCCCAACTCAGCAGAAGGCACAGAGGACCACCACACCCTGTCCATCTCTACCTGGCACCGCTCTGGCCACACGGGGCCTCTTGAGTCATTGTTTTCACCGCTACACTGGGGGGGACCAGCCCCTACAATCGAATGGGTCCAAGGGGCGGTTGTGTAATTGAGGGTTAAAATTAGACATCAGACAAGCTAAAGCATGCAATTGCTCACCTCCGGGACGGCCATGATCTCAGCAGCCAGGTACACGCCGAGAGAGCAAATATACTTCCAGTCACAGCTTATATACACTTAGGGGACGTGGAAGCCTCCCTAATTACATCATAACAGGAAGGGGTTGTACCATAGGCATACCCACAGCAGGAGGGGGACAAGCGAGGAGTGTACACACAGTAGGAAGGAGAGGCACTAGGGGTACACATGTGACAAGATGGGCAGACTCCAAAGTCAAGATGGCGGCCTAGCCTTGCTCCTCCTTGAGTTGGCTTGACCTTGTCTTTGGGCTCTCCTTCAGGGGAGCAATCCACTATCCTTAACACGAGGGAGTGGTCCCCGCCTAGGGTGGGACAGATATAGGGTCTGATTGCTCTAGATGGCTGATAACCCTCAGGCAGATAACCTTTAAGCAGTTGACCTCCAAGTGTATAGCCATTGACCATGTGTTAGCAAGCAGCACCTCCGGTTTGGCCTCTGTTATTGGGGGACAACCTGGGAACAGCCTTTTTGTCCCCACACTCCGCGAGGGCAGGTGTTTTGCTAAAAGGAGGCTCAGAGAAGCTGCTTCCTTTTCCTTCTCAGGCTCAGACCACTGCCATCTGCTCGTGCTCCATCCCCGACACGGATAGCTCTCTTTCATCCCAATTGGCCAGGTGGTCTCCCCTAGACTCTTGACACCTCACCTTGTAAACCCACAGCGGCAGAGTTACCTGCCACACACACACACCCTGCCGCCCCCGCCCCCCAGTAGGGGAGTCATTCCAGTCCCACTTGTTGATGAGTCAGGAGGCACCTCAGTGCTGCCCATGCGTGCTTGGGGACCGTGGAGCTGTCAGGGAAGAGC